AGAGAGAGAGAGAGAGAGAGAGAGAGAGAGAGAGAGAGAGAGAGAGAGAGAAACAACATTCTGTTCCACAGAAGTTATAGGCCCATTTAAATTATTGCAAGGCGGATCCATCGAATTTAACGTTCACCTCCGATAGAAGGTCAGAGCCAAGTAAGAGAACAAACATAACCCAACTCGAAAACTCCAGTCTTGGTTTATAATGAAGTTTGAGCTGCGACCAATCACAGTACACAAACACAAGTCTTCTCCCAGACGGATAAGACCTATTAGAGCTTTCAACTCGTGGCAATAGGGAAGGATCCCACACGTAGAGTCCAACCTACTCTGAAGGCCACCCATCCAAGACAACCACCTGTACAAAACGACAATTTCCCATTTTGCTCCTTGCTGGGTAGGTTGTTGGGTTTTTTTTCAACATAGCAATGACAGTGTCCAAGTACCATCTGTGAAAAAAAAAAAAAAAAAAAACCCACTTCCCACTGCACGTCCTGCGTTTTTGTTTTTTCTCAATCATAATGGCACTGTTCAAGAGGAAGCATACAATGCATGCTGCAGATTACATGCGCTAAAACATTGACAGATTGAAAAGATCTTTCCAGAACACAAGATGCAAGATGGAAAGAGGTGCACGGCCAGTCAGCCCGGGTGTCAAAGTCAAACACACAACACACTCTGGGAACGTTATATCCGTGCTGACGACAGGGGTGTGTGAACCGGGGAGATAGGAAGTTATCCACAGGAACACTTAGTTGAGAAAACCAGCCAAATGTCAAACCAGAAGGAAAAGGGTTAGAAACAATTTTTTTTAAAGAAAATAAATCACAACACAGCAGCAGGCACCCTCAGAGAAACTGACAGAAGCCATGCAGTTACAATACATATAGACATTCATGTTATTTCTAATAAAATTATAATTGTAATAAGAATAATAAGAATAAGAATACCACTGATAGACAATAGGCACAACACCAGGCAAGGAACAGCAGAGAAATAGCACAGCAAGCTACAGGAGTGCCAATGTTGTGGGATGGTGGGATAGTGGGAGAGTGGTGGGCCTACTTCCGATGAGAGGAACGCCGGCGTTCTCCAGACGAGATACAGGGCTGGCCAGGGGGAACTCCGTAAAGAAGAGGAGGATGTCGAAGAAGCTGGTGTGGTGTGCCACCACCAGGAGAGGCGCCTCACTGGCCGGGGCGCGGGCATTCGTGGTTCGAACCCACACGAAACCCATCAGCCAGAACATCATGCGGCCCACCACCACCAGAGGCCGGCCCGCAAACCTGTGAGTAGTGGGAGGGTGAAAGGATGGGAGGGAGGGAGGAAAGACGGGGGTTTGGGTTTGGATTTTGAGTCAAATGCTCTCTGCTTGAACACTTAATGAAACCATTCGGAAAGTTTTCTACCTGACCACACTGAAACCTTTTGGAACGTTCCAAGCGATAGAACTAAGCCATAAACAGTTCTAAAAGGACGAGCAAACTTGTTTTGCCCCCCCCCCCAGGTTTAAACCACCTCTCAGAGGTCAGTGATTTGCACAGGAAGTGTACATATTTAACGCCCCTATCAACACTACTAGGTTGAGAGGTGGGACATCTGAATTCAACGTCTAAATCCGATGGTACTGAGAGCCTTGAAAAGTCCACTAAATGGCCTGCGTTCAAGAACACCCAATCTGGTATTCACACCAGGCACATCCGCTCCATTGTCCAGCACTGCATCAACTGAGCTAACAAAGCAACCTGGTTCTGTCTTTTGTACCAGCAATCAACCACCACAAGCAACTCTCAGCCGTACTTTTGAGAGCTCACTGTGACTACAAGCGGAAGAGAAAATCAAAACCGCTAGCCACACTCTTGACACATCTAACAAGTCATCATTTTACACACACAAAGAACTCCTACTCTCAAATGTCAATAACACTTTTCCAGGCTTGCATTTGTAGTCCATATTTATATAATTCAAAAAAGCTATTCTTGAAAATCATTATGACCATGATAATAAACTGCATTTATCTAGTGCATATATTATGATATATGTATCCATGATCTACAGCATGCTATATGCAAGGTCTATTTTTAACCCAGAAGACTCTTAAAACACAATTCAGAAATGTACTCGCTTTCCCAAGAAGTGTGGCTGTCTGTCAGACCTCAGCAGTACCTTTATCAACTAATACGTCACATGTTTATCCTTTTCTCCATGAGCTCACACATTGCTAATCATAGACTACCTTATCTCCACGAGCTCACACAATAACGGTGCCAATCATAGACTACATAATCCGCATGAGCCCACATTCAAAACTGCCAGTCAAAGACTACCTTAGTCTAACACTGCCCTTTAAAGACTACCTTATCTATAGTCACAGTTTAACACTGCCATCACACTTTAACACAGCCAATTATAAAGTTCCTATCTCCATTTTAGCACACACTTTAACTTCGCAAGTAAAAGACTATCTAAAATTCGTCTTGAGACTAGAATATCTTGTCTCCATATATATCATACAACACAACCATGCGCATGCAACCAAAACCAAACAAAGGAAAATAAAGGAATCAAGAATTGCCAGTGCTGGGAAGGGAGTGTTAAACAGCAAAATGGTCAAAAGTAAAATCAAATATGTACGCCAAACAAAAACAAATAAACATTGCTCAAACAAGTCAACCATGACATCATACAGCACTGCATACTTCTACCATCTACAGTGACCTTACATCATGACAAGACTACAGCATGCATGTTGTTCAAAACACATTGGAGTCATTCAGACAATGGGTGTGTCTCTACCCCTCCCCACCCCCCCAAGAGCAAGATATCTTGAATAGAATTCAAGTGGCAATTGTGGCTTTGGAATACATTTCAATGCTAAGTTTTCGACACTTTAAAACCCTAAAAACATGAGAAATGGATTATAAAGAATGTGTGAGTGTGTGTGTGTGTATAAAATTTATTGTCATTTATATTAAGAAGACCCCAAGAATAAATTATGAAAATATGACTTTACAATGAAGAAAAACAATTAACAACAATACCCCCCCAAAAAACCCATCACATCAACATATTTATTATACCTTTTACTTGTTGCAGCAGGACGCAACATTAACAACAGCCAGTATTTATCTAGTGCACACCCCTATACCACAGAAGGCTCTACACTCAACAGCTTATTATTACTAAACAAACATTCTGATATTCCGAGCTTCATCAGAACAACCTTTTACTGTTTACGTCAGGTACCCATTTCCATCTGGATCAAGTGAGGAGAATTTGTGCACAATGTTTGACTAGGATTTAAACCACAGAGTCCAGTAACCTAACTACATGAGTCTGCCAACCTAACCACAAGACTGCAATAAATAAGGTTAACCTATACATCAGATCTGTTAGCTGACCCTAAGGAGTTTCAATTTCACCCTTTAAAATAGCATTCCAGAAACATTAATTAATCTTCAAAAAAGCAACAAGAAGCTCACATTATTTTTTTAAAAGTAACAACAAAAAGATACTGCATAAACTTATAACAAGAACAAAAACAAAACAACAAAAAAAGAAAGAAAAATGGTGCACCGTATAGAGAAGAGAGACCTTCACACGCCAATCTGAAATTGATAATTGAGGTCAGCAAGTCATGTTAACGCTAACATGAAGTACAAGGACATTCCATACGCCAGAGAGTCTGTCTGTTGCACTAGGTAGGCGTGTCATGAATAAGTCACAGAAGTCTTCAGTGACTCTTGGCAGAAAAAGTCAAGGAAGACAGCAGAAAAACAACAACAAGACAAAACATTTTCCCCGGCTATTTGGCTACAACATGTCAAACGCCCTTCTCTCACTTGTTTGACAAGTTTCTCATGGAACCACTCAATTCTGAGACCACTGTAGTCCCTCACATGTATGCAACATTAAAAAGAACCAAAGTCAGGTGAGTACTAGTACTGTCTTTTTAACCTCAACAGACAACTGAACGAGAACAGACATTACAATACACCAAAGAAGAGCAGTAAAGTTGAAAAACCCAGGACATACTTCCAAAAATAGGAACCTTCTGCAGTGAGGCTTTAGACACCACGGAGGTGAGCCCTAGATACACAACTGGCAACGCATCAATGAAGGAGGAGTGGGGGGCAACCAGCAGGAGGGGGGCCTCCTTAGCACTGGCCTGTCGGCCGCGCGCCTTCACAAAATACAGACCACCAGCAAAAAACACGCTCCGGCAAAGCAACAGGATAATAGGTCTCAAAAGTCTACAGAAAAAAAAAAAATTATGAAATGAAACATTTCCGTTATGATCACATAGCAGCAAAGAAAAACAAATCACACGCACACACAAACATGAGACCAATATTCAATGGCTGCAATACCCACAACTGACAATACCAGATGGCAGGCAAAGGAGAACAGGTTCACTGAAGTTTAAAGGGTTTTTTTAAGGTTGCACTTTATTTTCACTTTATATCCACCCTCTCGAGTAGTTTGGTGAGCTTCTTGGGAAAGCCCAAACAAGTACAGTCAAACACTTCATCATAGCTACTAATCACTGCAAATTTACTTTTCAATACAATTTAGTGTATTATTATTATGAAAAAAAAGAAGTAATTTATAAATAACGAAAGGCTGTGGGATACAGGAATATAGAAATGGACTCAGATGGAATCAAAGGGAGGTAAGAAAATATATGATTTCACTCCAAAACTGCTTTTTTGCTAACTGTGGTAACAACAATTGTGTTTCAAAAACAGATACAATTCCAACAGATAATGAAGGCAATCATGAAAAATTGTTTAAACATACATTATGACTAAAATGTGTACAGTTAAGTGCCAAAGGTTTACTCAGTGATCTGGGTTTATAGTTTATTGTCTACACAGATATTTGCAAAAAGAGTTTGGGAGGGGGGGGGGGGGGGGTTTGGACTAATGGTTTCTGTGTTTGGAGTCACTCAGGTTAAAACAAAGTACAAAAGTGAAACACTCAGAAAGGACCAACAAAAGGGGTTACTAAAGATACAAAGCGAACTTACGTGCGCCAGCCTGACAAAGGTTTTGTTTTATCCTCTTCTGAACGAAAAGCAACGGCCAAGGTCACAATAGGCCAAACCATCAACAAGAGAAGTATAACCAATATGAGGCGAATAGGGGCGATTGTAATGGACATCAGCACCACCTAATGAAGAAAATATAAATATATATATATATATGAAAATTGAATGTGAAAGCACTACTATAAGATTTTTGCATAACAGTAGAAATAATAATATTTTACATTTGCTGCCTTATCTCTGAACAGCCCGTGGCCTTGACCATCAATGATTTATTTATAGAGGCACCAGCCACCCATGTCCAGGTGCTGTTTTAGCCAACAGCCCGTGGCACAAGCCATAAATATACTGCCAAATAAATAAAAACAGATGAGAAATGTATACAAGTTTAAAAAGGAACTGTGAGTGCAAACCTATTTTAAAGCAAGTTTTAACTTCATAACCCCCCCACCCCCCCCCAAAAGACAAAATTTCTAGCAAGTAAACTTTACAAGCAAAATAATCGTGAGATGTGTTGTTACATTAAAAGTATATAAATTTAATCAAACTGCTGCAGGCTACCTTTATTGTTAATTGGGTTTTTGTTTTATTTTCTATATTTTAATGCACTGTTGATATAAGGAAATTAAATTGGAATTTTATGCCAATGTGCAAAAAATTAGCATGGACTGGTCTCAAACACAAGAATCCTGAAAAACTGTTGAAGAAAATGTCCACTAATGACTGATTTTGATCTTTTAGAATTTGTCTTTAAAAGTTTGAGAGGAATTACGCAATTAGTGACCACTATGAATCAGTAAGGTTTTGGGGAAGGGTTAGAGTTAGGTTTCTTCAATTTGTGTTTGTTGGGATGGTCGTTTGTTACAGAAGACCTTCCAAAAATTCCATGAGTATGATATGTGAGGCATCATAGTGAAATCAGGATTCAGGTGCTTGTCAAAATGATGAAATCGAAATATCAGCATTTTCCCTCCAGTTTGACCATTTTTTCTAAATTTTGTTTGTTTGTTTAACACCTTTCATGTCCATTTAAAAACGCTGAGTGGATTTTACTGAAAAACATTGATTCAAGGCCCAACAAATGTAAATTTTCAGTTTCCAAGGACTCTCAAGCTTTGGAAATTACCAAACTTTGTCAGCCATTTTTGCACTAATTTTACCTCTCAAACTAGGCGACCTCAACCTCCTTTAAATGGCAAATATCTTGACTCCTATTCAAGATAGGAGTGTATTTTCTTTTATCAAAAGATGGTTAAATAAACAAGCTTTAACTCATTCGCTAACCCGAGCCGTGGGGGGGGGCTAAATTAAAGTGCCGTCAGTACATAGCTAAGCCGCCGCCGCCGGCTCGAGAACCGATCTTCAATTTTAGCTTAGATTCTATTCCAATCAACATATCCATGTTAAAATATACGTCATAATATAATGTTGACTTCCGGGTCAAGCATTTCCACTGAAAATCGGAAACTTAGATTCAGTTTTGAAACGCGATTTCCAAGTTTATTCGACTTTTGTTTTATCGCGATGCCAATATTATAGCCCGGACACCAGTCTTACTAATTTTAAACAACAAAATCTATCATTATTTTGCCCACTAAAGAAATGTAGGACTCTTTTTTATGATATTGATTCGATGGGACTCGTAAATTTCTTCTTTTTATTTCATATCGGATGTTATGTTCAATGTACAAATATTATGGAATGTAGGTAAATAACTGCAAACTTTTCAATATTTTCCAGTTCTATTCATTTATGGTTATTTTGATGTATCATTTGACTAGGGGCAAACATATTTTTTGAGTTTCACCAAAGATTATTAATTTTTTATTTTCAAATTTTATCCGCATCCTATCAAAATTGTGTTGCATAATCGTCTCTTACAGGAACCAAAGTTGAAAAATACATAAATAAACATTACAGATGTATTCTACAAACCATGTTGAAAATATTGGTATATATAATACGTTGATATTTATTTGAATTTGTGGCCCCAAAGACCTTTTAACTGCCCACTTGTCATCATCTCATACGTAGCGAAGGAGTTAAGATTATACCAATAACTCCAGAGGCCCAAAAATTGATGAGCGACAGATTCTACCGTGTCGTGACACATATTTTTACCATGTGTGGACTTACTTTGCAAAAGCCCTACTCTTTCCATTTTGTTAAGTTGTTGCAATTACTTTTCTTATAATTTAAAAGATAATTAATAAGGCATTCTAAGGCAAAGGCAAGGCAATTTGATTTTCAAAAACTTCATAACTAAATTTGCGAAATGATAATACATTTTTTTAAAGTGAAAGGGTAAACAAAACGGCACAGCATTAAAAATTTTAAGTAATCAACAAAGGACATTATAACATAAATTAAACATTTTCAAATCAGAATTTCACTGGGGTATTTTTTGTTGAACTAGAATCTATACCATTGGCCTATATATTATTTCAATGTTTCTGGACAAAGAATCACACTGGGCTTGACTGGTGACAGTGGGTAACAGTTGTCTGGTTGGGGGGGGTTTTTTGGCCGGCTGTATTTCTCAGAACGTTCAGGAAAATAAACTTGAACTTTATTTCTTCGAACGGTTTCCGTTCTCGAGATTTGTTGATAATAAATATTGGTGTGGGGGGGGGGGGGGGGGGGCAGACGAAGTGAAAATGAGCTTGACTTAGAGAATGTTTATTTAATATGTGTAATAGAGTACAATAATCTTAAAATCTTATTCTTATCGTCCGTTGACAATGACGGTAAATTTTTACTTTCACTCCCACACACAGATGCACTGTTTCAGGGGTCAAACTGCTGTACTGTTTGCTGCAGATCACACATAAAGCCACTAAAACTGTCGCAAATCAATTATTTTCAAGACAATTTCAAATCTAACTGTAAAATATCAAATTACGGGTGTAAAAACAGGGGGGCATGCCCCCCTGTAACCCCCCAGATTTTCTTTTACCCCAGTGGGGCAGGCCCCCCTGGAACCCCCCGATTGGTCCAAAGCATGTCTATCTCGGTTAAAAACAATCAAATATTTCAAAAACCATTAATTTGCAACGGAAATGAAGTTGATATTCGTATTCAGCGCACCAATATTTAGTAGAAAATAGACAACTGGTAGCTGAGTGAGAGACGGGAGGGAAAGTAAAAAAATACCACAATGACATTAACTATTAACAGTGGTCGATAGTTGGCAGGGGGTGATGGCCAAATGTATCATGTAGAATTGTAGATCTAGATCTAGATTAGTATGGTAGATCTAGATCTAGATAGTCTAGATCTAGTGTATGTGACCAAGCGATAGAAAGTTAGATCTAGATCTAGCTCCAGATCTGGTCTTGATGCTAGATCAACGTTATCATCATTCATTTGTGTGGTTAAAATTAAAAGTACTAGATCTAGATCTAGATCTAGATCTAGATCTATATATCTAGAATCTAGATCTATGGCCTACTACTAAACTAAACTATTAACTAGATATCTAGCCTAATTATTAATTTAATAACAAATCTTCCAAGTTCTAGATATCTAGATCTAGATATAGATCTAGATCTAGATTTTTCTAGATCTAGATCTATTCTAGATCTACATCTAGATCTAGATATCTAGATCTAGATCTAGATCTAGATTCTAGATCTAAGAAATATAGATTTAACAACTTCCAAGACGATAGCCGATAGCCTAATTGCAGATCTAGATTATAGATATATAATCTAGAATCTAGATCTAGATTAGATCTAGAAGAATAAAAGATAGTCATAGTATGACATATACTTTGATTTATGATTATTCTCATATCTTTCGATTTTTTTAGAAGCAGTGTGGAACTCCACTACAGTAGTCAGAGTAGTGTGTGCAAGTTACTAAGAAACTGTAAACAAACCTGCAACTTGTCCAGGAAAGTGAAATGCATCTTATGCACAAACGGATTTTGAATGTCTGGTCCAACCAGCGACTTCTGGCGTGGCATTTGGTTACGCTTCATTTTTGCAGAAATTTCCAAAATGGAAACAACACTCGTTCAATGCACAAATCCAACAGTTTCCGTCACAACAACATCGCTTCCTGAATGGCACTGTGCTATAACTGGCCCACGGTGTTCCAGGCTTGCCTCTTTGTCGTCAACACTGATCTTCCGGTTTTTTTCCTTTTCCTTTAATTTCACTTCCGGTAAAACATGCGCAGTAGGGCGTTGTGCGGGATTATGGTAAAGTGGAACTATGGGATACGATTTGCTGTGCTGCAACACCCAAGATGGCAACCAGATTCCGTCAGTAGAAAGAGAAATTTGTGAGATTTGACTTTGAGTGATTCGTGAAATTAGCGAATATTCAACCATGGAGCAGCAACAGGAACGTTCAGGAAAACAATCTGGCGAGTTTATCGTTGGACTTAAGTATAGACTTGTCCGTAAAATCGGCAGTGGTTCCTTCGGTGACATTTATCTGGGTATCAACATAACAAACGGCGAAGAGGTTGCTGTGAAACTGGAATCTTGTAAAGCCAGACACCCTCAACTGTTGTATGAGAGTAAGTTGTACAAAATTCTTCAAGGTGGTGTAGGCATTCCTCACATTCGATACTATGGTCAGGAAAAAGAGTACAACATTCTTGTCATGGATCTTCTGGGGCCAAGCCTGGAAGACTTGTTCAACTTCTGTTCCAGGAGGTTCACAATGAAAACTGTTCTCATGCTTGCTGATCAAATGATTGGACGTATTGAATATGTCCACAACAAAAATTTCATTCACAGAGACATTAAGCCTGATAATTTCCTAATGGGAATAGGAAGACATTGCAATAAAGTCTTCCTCATTGATTTCGGTTTGGCTAAAAAGTACAGAGACAGCCGAACCCGTACGCACATCCCCTACCGCGAGGATAAAAACCTGACAGGAACAGCCCGGTATGCTAGTATCAACGCCCACCTGGGTATTGAACAGAGTCGAAGAGATGATATGGAGTCACTTGGCTATGTTCTGATGTATTTCAATCGAGGCAGCCTCCCGTGGCAAGGGTTAAAAGCCAACACCAAGAAGCAGAAATACGAGAAAATCAGTGAAAAGAAAATGTCAACTCCAGTTGAGGTCCTTTGCAAAGGCTTCCCTGCTGAATTTGCCATGTATTTGAATTATTGTCGTGGTCTTCGATTTGAGGAAGCTCCTGATTATATGTATCTACGTCAACTGTTCAGAATCCTATTTAGAACCCTCAACTACCAGTACGACTACACATTTGACTGGACCATGCTGAAACAAAAGGCAGCACAGGTAGCACAGTGCACAACAACTGCTGCTCCGACGGCAGGTAGAGGCTGAGTTATTAAATTTTGGACTTCATCTCACTGTTACACCGTTACAGTGTCCCACTGATCGTCATGAACTGAAGCAGGGAGCAGTGATACCATTTGAAACAGTCTTCGTGGGTTAGGATGTAGACTCATATGTGTATACAGTTTAGGAAAGAAGTCCCATGAAGGAATGGATATTTTAAAGCTGAGATCAAATATATCTCCTACCCAAATGAATCCGGTTTTCAGACTTGTCAAAGAAAGGAAAAGCACTAATACAATGGTGAATGTTGAGTGCTGCGTGTGTTTGGTGTCATTTGTTAATTTAATGAAGGAATAACATCCCGTGTACGTGACTTGTTGTGAACGCCAAACTGTCATCATTTTGATTCGCTCTTAAAGATTCCTAAACTGATTACAGGCTAAACTGTGTCGGTACTCTTGTAGCATTAAATAAAAGCTCTTGAATTTGCTTAAAATTAGTTTTGGGCCCAACTATATTCATTTCAGCTTTGTTCTTTCTACAAATGATCTGCTTTTCTCATGTTTCCATACTGTGAATGTGTCCAAATTGGGGAGGGGGTGTTAAATTTTTCGTTTTTTCGTGTTTAGTTGTTAGCCTTGAATTTTTTTTGGAAATTCATGCTTTACTTTATTGCTTGTGTTGGATTGTAAACTATGGTTGGAAAACTTTGAAAGCTGTCATCAAGCTATATAAAATTTGAATACTTTTCATATTGTATTTATAATTTATGGTTACAAACATTTTTAGTTGAGGTATGTTGATCATTAGGTGATGGAACAGGTTTTCAGTTTTCTCTTTCGATTCATCGTCTTTGAAAATATGTTCATTTCATTGGAGAACTTTGTTGCTTCTACTTTTTATGGATGTTTTCGGAGAAAAAAAATTTTTTTCTGTAGGCTTAGGTCCAGGCGGGTGTGGTTGGGTTTTATTCTTTTACTTTTGTAAATTAAGTGTACACCCATTATCAAAATATTCAGCTAATAATTGTGGGTGGATTTTGCTTTTTCTGATCTGATTGTAATGCGAAATCAATTGTTCAGACAAGACCAACAGTATTTAACACTTTAACACTTGTTTGAATCATCAGTAATTGTCTGTACACTAACTTGTCATGTAGCAAAATGAGAGTCCCAACTAAATTCTCAAGAATGCTAATGTTGAAAACTTTTTTTGAATATTATTATTATTTCAGGTCTTGTCAGCTCTAATGTTTTTATTATTATAATATCCATACTGCGGGGAATGTTCAAATGTCACCTTCCAGTCCATTTTTGTTGGTGACTTTGACTTCCTATCCACTGGCCCTGTGAATATATCTCTATAAAACTCCTTGGAAAGCCAGATCCCCCTGATGCTGGCCAGCTGTTTGACTGTTTCTCAATTCTGTGTTATTGTTTCATTATAATATGGTCATGGAGAGGCAGATAATTTCTTGTTTTTCCTAAATTCAGAAAAGATATATGTAATGTTTGGAACTGTGCTTGTCATTTGGAATTGAAGTGGGGAAACAAAATATAAGTTCTTTTGAAATTTTGGTTGTGTACTTGCAACGGCTGTACCCATTGCTACAAGGTCTGCTGTGGATGGATGGCTTTTTTTTTTTTTTCAGAGCAAACTCTTTTGGAAATATGTAGACCGTATTTAACATGTTTGGGTCTTTAGCGTTGTTGTACAAAATCTTTGCTGGCTTTGAGGATTTGTTTTCACATGCATTGAAAAGTTAAATTTAAAAATATGTACTTTGCTGTAATTGTGAAATGGATGGTATGATGTCATATCCCAGAAGTCATCATGTAGTCTTTTTTTTTTCTTGTTGAAAGTAATATTTACGCGATGCTTTCATCTTGTTTTGGATTGTGTATGAACAGCTTCAATCCATTGGATAGACAAGTAAAGCCTTACAGCAGTGTCAGAGTTTGCCATTTACAAAGAAGACAAGTCCTGTGTGTATAACATTACTATTTGTGAATGTCTATTATGTGCTACCTCATATTTTGGGTTATTGTCAGCTGGGTTTTTGTCTTTCGTATTTTTAGCTCTAATGACATGTTCATAGAGTCAAAATCCCACCTTTACAAAAAAAACTTCAGAATGATGACAGTGGTGAAATGTATGTGACAGCTGTGACTAATTTACATGTTTGAGAGGTTATATTATACAGCACAGGTTTTGTTTCTTTGTTTGATGGTGATCAGCTTTGACTTCTGTGTATGTTATTGTGAGAGCTTATGTCTGAAATCACTTATAAATCTGTCCAATCATCATTCACCACCATACTGATGGTGCCATGGGTTTTTTGTGGGGTCATTTTCTGTCAGGGCCTTTCAGTTGGGTCACAGTCACACAGCACTAGCATATGATATGCAGCTACTGTTGTCATATAAACTAGTGACCAGTGAGGTTTTGGGGTTTGGGGGGGGGGTTCTTGGTCTCCAAACAAATTTTTATCTGTGGTTCAAAAGAGATTTTGGTGGTCTTGAAGATGTTTGGTTTATCATTGGTGGACTCCAGGTGTTTCAAGATGAATGAAATCTGTATGGGGGTGCCTAGTTGTTCCCAGATGACCAGATAATTTTTTTCATCTTCACTTACATGGATAAGAAATACTATGGCAGGATAGCAAAACTTTTCAGCTTACCTTCCTTGTGGATTTTTAAACAAATGACTTTAAATACTTTAATTACTTGACTGAATTGTTTTTTTTTGGGTTTGTCATGTTTTATAGACTGAACTTTTGTATAGCTAAATATTGTTTGTTCGTCAGAAAAAAGTCGTCTTCTAAAGTTTTTGAATGTAGCTCATGGCACGCATATGACCTTATACGGTTGCGAACACCGTAAAACCTCTTCTAAAACAAAAACTAAGAATGTAACTCTTGTTTAACTTAGTATGGAGGAAGAAACATACTTACCTTTAAATAAATTACTAGAGTGCCAATTTTTCTTTTGGTGTGTTTTTTGATGAGCAAGATTCATAAAATTTGAGATTGGAGTATGAAGTATGTGAGGAGCATCATGAGCCATTCCGGTTGCAACTTACATTTTAGTAACTGGGTGTTGATTTTTGCAGGAAGGTTATTGTCAGTTGAGGTTCTGCATTTAATTAAAAATGCTAGTTTTGTTGTTGTTGTTGTTTGTTTGTTTTTTTGGGGGGGGGTAGGGGGGAGAGGGGTCCTCACCCAGAGCAGAACATTTTGGCATAACTCCACTTTACCTGCTTAAAGGGACTCTGCGGTTTTCTTGAGAGTAACCTGTACCCAATTGATTTACATGAAACTTTTTTTTACAAAGAAAAGTAACAAAAATATTTTTGTAACCAAAGGGTGTTTACTTTTGTTCTTACTGTAGTAGATCATTATTTTGCTCAAAGAAAAGCAAGGTACCTCATGGCTTATATTTTGCAAGTCAGCCTGTGGAAAATTAATTAAGGATTTTTCTCGTCTTCCTTTGACAATAATGCTGATTTGAATAAATTTATCTTGTAGGGAGCTAATTTAAATTAACAACAATGGCACTGCGGTTCTTAGTGCATCATCTGATGTGACATTTTGGTGTGTACTTTGCTCCTCCACAAATGCAAAAAGGGGACATTTTTAAAATGTATTGTATTCAACTGGATATTTATTTTAGTGGATAGCGTAAAGTCACATGGACTGTGCTCTGGACTTTTGTAAACCCTGGTATTGGCATTTTTTTTTAAATTCAACAAGCAAGTTTAACCCTGTCCGTATGTTGTGTTTTACTATCGTATTCATACGACGTGGGGAACTCTGTGCCCACGCTTTCCAAAGAGGAAATTTACTCTTTAATCCGATCCCGTTTTGCATAGCAGTCTGTCAAAATGATTTTTTGACAAATACTGAAAGTTTTCGAAGAGATCTTCGCACTAGAAATATTCTATAATGTGAAGAATACAACCCGGGGAGTACAAAATTACCCCAGGGCATAAGGATAGTGTTAATTAGGCAGGGAAGAGATGTAGTTTAGAGGAAGGTGAGAGTAAGTGTTGATTGCTGTTGTACATGCCGGTTTGAGTTAGGTTCTTGTCTGTTTGTTTGTTGTTGGGGGGGGGGGGTTGTGTATATTTTTTCTTTTTTTTTTATGTGACATAATTTGTTTTCATTTGAAGTGTTGCACTCGCGGGGAAAGGTCCTCTGCTAAAGGGATTTGTTTCGGGCTTTTTGTATGCTTCTCATGGTTAGTGGGGAATTTTTGTATAATCAGTTTTGATTGGGGTTTATTTTTTTTGGTCTGGAATACGACTGGTTGCGGGAGTTGGGAGAACTCACTCTCTTTTCGTTAAAACGTCCACTGCAGATGCTCAGTTTACTTCAGAAGTTAATTAATGATGTTTAGTGTTTAGCTGACAGATGCACAGGCTGGCTCAGGCATGTCTGTACTTGTAGTTGTAGGATATCTCAGGATTTTGTTCCTGCCAAAAATTTGATTTTGTCAGCAGTAAGAGCATATTGAAATAAGATTGTGTTACCTTCCATGTTTTCCGGGTGTGTTTCGAATTTTGAATATTTAAAGGTTTTTAATTTTTTTTAAAGTACTTCTAAAAGTGGATACTGGTTGCTTGCACAGGAGAAGAATTGCTGTCTTCTCCCCACCACTGTGTTTTGTGTGTGCATTTGTCTGCGTGGTAATGTCTGTTTTGTCAACATGGATTGTCGTCAGGATTTCAAACATTGTTTTTTGGTTCCCACATTAGTGGAGTAAGCATGTTTGATTCAATGTTCTCACGTGGCATGTTAGTTCTGAGATCACGCTGTGATGTTTGCTGTAGTCGTTCACTGCTGTTCTCGGGGAAATCTTGTCAATGTTTTCTTTTCCTACATTATGCATGTTATTGTCATATATGTTTGCACCATAAATGATCTTGTCTCATTGTCCTATTCATAAATGCTCTATCTTTGTCTTTTTTTTAATTGATTACTTAAGCCAACATTTATCTTAGTAAAAAATAAGAAATAGAAATAGGCCTACAGGCCAGAACATACTGTTAAATGATTTATTCAATGCTTCATTATTTAAAATGTAGTGATAAGACCTAATGACAATTTACATATATGCTACCATGTATTTACTGAAAATGAAAGTCGATTTTATTTTTTATTTTTTTGACAACGTACTTTGATTGATGGCTATGAAAAAGTGAAACTTTAACCTTCTTTTTTTTTGGCGTACTTGGTTCTCACATGTGTAGTGTCTCTTTGTCTGGGATTTTTCAGTTTTTACGTATAGTGTACCCTCCAAACAAGTTGAAGAATGGAAACCTTGTAGTTCTGTAAGGTCCAGGGCATGAACCAGTCAATGTGGCAAGCGGCTGGTAGTCATGGATGGTTGGTTGGGGTCAACGCATAAATGTACCACGGTCAAGGTAACCTCCACCCACACACACACCAGTAGAGTCAGTGGCCCACCGCAGTAACATAGGCAAAACAGATGAATCTTGATAATCCTTATGTTACATTGTTGTAGACCTACTTGGTAAAGACTCAAGAAGATAAACAAGGAGCCCTGAATTTTGGAATAATTTTTTTTAGTTGTCACAATTTTGGGTTGTTGTTTTTCAAAATATCAAGCTGTCACTGTCCCGTCCTCTACATTACGTTGAGTGATTTGTGAGGCATGTTGACAAAGTGAGTGAACCCTGTGGAAATCCAAATAGATACCAGTACATCAAATATGATAGAGGTGGAATTTGTACCGGTACCATGTATAGTATAAGTATGAAAGAACAAGTTACAAAAGACATGTTAAACTTACAGAAAATGGGGCTGATTTTTTGGCAGATATCTCCATGTGTGGAGTGGGAGAAGTAACACATTTTGTTGACGTTCTTCACAAATGTTCTTTGTCCTAACATACATGTATGATTGATAAATAATGTCTTTGTGTGTGTTTTGTGAAAGAGACTGGGGAGGACATTGTTGGGTTGGGGCTGTAGAGTTGATGGGTTGTCTCAACTACTGTATACTTTCCTCTATGAAGTACATTACATTCATTACATTGGTATTGTATCTGTGTCAATTGTACAATCTTTCTTGTTTATCTCTTATTCATTCATATGGTTCGTTATTTTGTTTTTTGCTGTTTTCAGTTTATGAATGAGAGATAAAATGAAGTTGTGATTGTCATTACTTTATTTGTTTGAGCTGGGATTAGAATTGATGCATACGTGGATGAATGTGTGTTGTTTTGTGGAATAGAGGCAGGTGTGTGTAAGTCAGGGTGACAGCGTGTTGTATGGTGATGAGTGTGCGCGATGACCAGTTGTGTGAGTGAGACACTTCCATGTCTTGTGAAACAGAAATATTTTGTTGAGATGGGATGAATTATGTATGAATGTATTGCTCATGATCTGATGTATGATATTTTCTCCCATGTATGTCCTGACTTGTATGTATGGTTTCTGCCCTCACTTTCTGTGTGGGTGATTGACGGGTGTCCTAGTGTGGTTTGCTCCTTCTTTCTTATCAAACGTCTGTCATCATCCTTATCTCTCCTCCTTCTTTTCTTGTTACATGTTCGTTACTCTCTAGTAACACCTCAAATCTTCGGCACTTGTATGACTTCATTGTGTTGCAAGTGCAGTAAAATTCGTACTAAAACACTTTCTGTTCCAATTCATTTGCCCATGATGTTCGTGGAGTTCTTGTGCTGTGGAAGTTGTCGTGTCTGCACATACGCCATGAAAATTTTTCGTTCTTTATCATGGCAAGGTCATCAGAAAGCTGTGATTACTGTTTCTCATATCTCCATAGTCAACATTGGGAGGAGTTAGAAAGCTTTTTCTTTTTCCTGTTGGTTTTTTTTTTTTCTGTTTTCCCATTTCCCATCTTCCTCAATATATATTTTTCGCTAGCCTTGATACTATAAATAGTTACACATGGTTATGAGAAACTATTGCAAATCTCTTCCACTCCATTAATTTGATCTTCATCGTCATCAGCTGTAAATTATTTATGTGTGCTTCATACTTCATGAGGAATAAATGTAGACATTTGTACACGGCTTTTGGATTTTTCCTTGTTTTGTCCAAATGTTTTCTTTGTGTGTAGTTGGAGGATGGGTGGTTGGCAGGTGCTCCAGTGCAGTTTGCTCCTTCTTTCCTATCAAGCATTTAGATCGTCCTTAATTCTCCTCCTTTTTTGTTTGTTGCTCCCTTGTAATACCTTTTTAATCTATGGCACTTATGTAATGTGACCTAATTGTGTTGCAAGTGCTGTAAAATGCTTACTAAAACAATAAGTTTAGTTGTAGATGGAGGGAGCCACTGGTAGGTCCTACGTCTGCCCGTTCTTTGTTGTTTCCATCTGTCTGTCTTATTTTATAGATTATTTGAAGGCATCACTGGTAAGTCTTTCTTTTCTATCCTTCAGTTACTTGTCTGTCTGTCTCTTTTTCCCTGCACAAAATGACTATCAGCATCAGTGGTGTAGCGGTAAGGCACTTTGCTCTCGTATAATTTAGGGGACCCAAGTTCAATTTTGAAATGTGGAAAATTGTTATCAAGTATGAGTATCTCATTCTTTCCTTCTAGAATTTAGAATGTTGCAAACCTGTCAGCCTGGGTTGGCCCAGACAGGCAGGGTGGGAAGCCCTAAAAATAATCTAAATTGTGTTGGTAGGGGCATAAAAGCACCTAGGCATACATTAACTTCCCAGTCAGAAAAAAATGAGTTGTGAGATCTGCTTCTCTTTACTCAAACAAATAAATAATTGATGTAAGCTGTGCTTGTAGAGTCGGTCTATTAGTATTACA